GTAAATAAGTTTATGAAATACTTCACTTAGATAATATTTCATTATTTTTCTATAAAAATAGGTTTCAACTATGAAGTAGTTCACTTTTGCAATTCAAGATAAGTTAAAATATTTTAGCCAAATAATTAATTGTCGGATAACCGCATATTAGCGGGCATTTCGGGTGCTTTCAAACCCTTCCCGAAATTCTAATAACGAACCCCCCGAACCCCCCCCCCCCCCTTAAGCATTTTCAATTGATTCCCTGTTTCAATCTATTGAAAATCAATTTTTTCTTGATTTTTCTTAAAAATTAAGTTGCGACTCTTAAAACAAGTCAAATTATTATTTTAAATAAAACAAGTCCTTTATAAGTGTCAACTTAGTGGTACCACAATAGCTCAGATCAAACCTTTATACCATGGCAAGGTATATTGAGTGTTTTTTATGGGGATTATACATCAAACTTTATGTTTAGCTCACATGGTTATATGTCTGTTATTAGTACCTCCCACAATCCAATCTCAGATTATTGCATTGACCTTATATTTATTTATTCCAATTTAGTACCTATCTATTGCATGTTGATTTACTTGGTCATTGCATGAGTTCATATTTTTTTGTTTCATGTTTAACATCTCGGATTTATCATGTTTAGTTTATTTAATTATGGTTCATATCTCTCATACTTAGTACATTCAAAGTACTAGCCGCATACTCTTTGTGCTATATTATTTTATAATATAGGTTCGGATGCTTAACATCCATCCTGCGGTTAGTACGAATTCTAATCAGCTCAGTAGCACTTTTGGTAAGTCCTCAACTTTCGAGTACAACCCTTTTATTTATTTCAATTATTTATTCTTTCAGTTTTAAGATAGTTAGAGTTAGATGGGGGTTTTCCAAGTAACTCATCTAAGTAGAGGCTTTCAGATAGATAGTTAGATATTAGTATTTGTTGTCATTCAATAAAAATAATGTACAATATTACAATCGCAAGCGTCATCACTAAATCAAGTCATGTCCATTACCTTTAATTAGCCTCATGGATGACTGCTAGCCTCTTACCATGCATTTACATATACTCTAAGGTCAGATATCAACTGGAACCTTGCCCTTTCTTGTGTCGTTTTTGTAACACTTGGGATACAAAAAAGAGAAAATTTTAGTCCTTCAAAAGATCTGGTGCCAGAATCGACGGACGCCACCAACGATCCGTCGTCTGACACACAGACCGTGGGTAGGCCAATCTAGTTTTCCTAAAATGTCAAGTTCCAGTACTTTATCGACGGTTCACCAGGACGGTCCGCCATCCAATCCACGAGCCGTAGGTAGGTCTTAGAGCGCACGACCAACAGATCCAAGAATTTGTTGAACGCACCAAGCAACATAAAAAACTAGTTAAAGCTCGGTTTTGAACAATGAAAACCAACATAAGTTGCTTCAATATTCACTCTTTTCTACAGAGAAGAAGTATAGAATGGGAAGGTGAAACTAGTTATCCCGCTTACCATACTGCATGCAACAAGTAGTCAGACCTTATAAAAGTTACCAATCAGTGACATGTGACTATCAAATGTATAAGTGTATTTTTAATGGTATAGGAAAAATAATTCTTTATACCAATGTGAAGATTGCTTTTTTTGGTTTTTACTTTGAAGTAGATGTAGCAGAATAACTACGAACAATCCTGCTTCGTTGTACTAACCCATTTTATTGTAGTTCTTTCCCTTTGATATCTACCATAGTCTATTGTCTATTGTGTTTAATTATGATACTATTTTGTTGTTCTTGTTCCTTTCTTGTAGGCTTTGCAGTTTGCACTGCCTCCCTTATTAGTTGTTATGTTTTCTACACTGTTTTCTTCTTCAAGTCAACTCACTTGATTTGTTGTTTAAGTTCTCATACTTCTATCTATGAATGTTTGTTTTCTTGGTATGCAACCAAATCTTTAGGAACTTAGTTTGTATTCTCCCTTAGATTGGGTTTCATTGGGAAACTTTAGACAATTATAGTAGAATATTTTCAACTATCAGAGATGAATCAGTTCAAATAACAGAAGCTTCAGATGGAGTTGAGACATTTACAATAGAAGAAATCTTTCATACCATAAGATGGAAACCCTGATGGCAGTACGAGATATGGTAGTACCACGCATTGGCAATGTTGATTCCAATATCGTAAAGCCTTCTATTATGGAAAGGTGGATGTCGAAGCAGAACATGGTTTAACTTCTACACACAAGCGGGAAGTTCACATGTTTACCATATAAAGACCCTCAAGTTCATCTCCAAATTTTTTTAGAGATCACTGACTTAGAAAGACCAAGAAGGTACTTGCATATTCTTTTATAGAAGGACTTGACATTCAATCAAATATATTCCTATATTTAGTTGTATGTTGTTAGGCATTGGAGAAAACTTATAATGTGCTCGTTGGGCTAGTAATCCAGGACGAAATGGAGATTCAAGCATACAAGCATAATTGTCAACCATGATTCATGAACAACAGCTTCAACCATCTCACTAAATTTCTGATAGGACATCCACAATCTCAAGTCTAATCAATATAACTAGCTCGGTTGTTTTGTGAAGTGTGCGGTGGAGACCATTCTGAAGAGTATGATACTCTTCTGAACAACACTTAAGAACACTCCCTTTTTAGGGTGAAGAATTTCCAAGAGGGTGATTTTAAACTGTGACTTAATAATTCATGTTTTATAGCATGAGATTACGTTGTCGACCAGTGAAACAACTAGAATAAATCTTGGAAGAAGGGCATGGTCTCAATTGATTTTTTCTTTCAAATACGTATTTTAATTTTATCTGTTGAGTTTTTTTTATATCTTTATACTACATATCAAGATGTAAGTTATTATTTGTGTGAAATTTTGATTTCCCCCTTTGTTATCTGCTTCTACATCTGGAAGTTCTTTTTGTTGTGTAGGTCTTTCTGTTGTGTAGGAGCATGCATAACTTGCATTTGTGCTTATGACACTAGACTACATGGTCTAATCTTGAAAATACAAAGGTTGTCGAGAGAATTTTTAGAAGGAAGATGGACCACCAAATTGAATCTTTATAAGGTTCCTAGATTGTGTTGCATCAGCTAATTTTTGACATCTTAATATGCTTTGTCTACCGTTTCATCTATTGTTTATATTAATATTATTTTTCTTAATGTAAGCTACTACTTGGTATTTTCATATACTTCGTAGGACTTAGAAGTTGTTGGAGAAGCATCCTCTTTATGCATGTGATACATGTAAGAAGAACTGCATATTGAATCTTGGAAAGAGGGCTCATTCTTTCTTTAAAGTAATGAGAAACGAACATTGCGTATGAGTTCTAGTAAAGTGTGATTCTTTGAGTATTATTGGTTTCTCAACTTAGTTTATAGTACTCATTTTCAATGTATAGATTGGTTTTGAAGTTGATATACGAGAGTTGTTGCACCACCTCCCTCTTTAATTTCTCCAATCTCTTTTCAATATTTTTCACCTAAGTTTGTTCTATCAATGTCACACCTGATAAGAAAGTGATCTAGAGAACTCAATTAAATCTCTACGGAGAATAAAAAGTGAACCACTATGGTTACACACTATTAACCTCCGTAGAAGTCCAATAGAGTCCTCAAGATCAGTTTCCTGATCAGTCCCATGTGAAACTGTTATAGAAAACCTTGATGGAAAAAATGGAAAGGAAATTGCAAAAACTAAAACTAACAAACGCCACATGAATTTGCTATATTTGCAATTGAATTTGGCACTCAAATGTACATTTACTTAACAAAAGCGGCAAATTTTAATTTAAACTCCAAAATAAATGTATCATATTCAAGAAGATCAAGAAAATAAAAATAACAATCGCAAAAATATAAGCATAAGATAGAAACAATCAACATAAAAAATTTAATTTTTTTTATTATGGAAAGACATATAAGGATATGTAGAGAAACTATAAGAAAACCAAAGGTAGAAAAAGAAGAGAAAATATGTTTTTTCTTAATAAAAAGAGTGAAGAACTAGGAAATAACCAACAACGATAGGAAAGAGATAAGAACAAAAAGATTGTTTTAATGGTATAGAAACTAGAAGAAAAAAGATAATTTCTCTTGCTGAAAAAAGTGAAGAACTGGAAAAAAAACCAACAAGAATATGAAAAAGATTATAAGAGAGTTTGTTTCACTGGTATAAATGAACAAATGGAATGGCTATTTATAACCAAAAAGATGTTTGAGTTTTGAAAGTTATTTATTAATTAGGTGAGAATCTAATTAGTTAATTATAGTTTAGTAATTAAAAACTATTTGGCGTAAATGAGTAAATATTTTACATATTACACACCAAAATCAAATGAAAATATTGGTAAGACAATAATTATTCTACTAAAAAATCTTGGGACACAAATATCATTAGTAAGTAAATAGTAAAGGTAAGACTATAATTGTTCTACAACAAAAATTTAATATTGGAATATTTACAATGCATACAAATAACGTTGAAGAAATTTTTAAATATGAACTAAGGAGACTTACTGAAATCAAAACTTATAAAATGTATTGTATCCTTAATTTTATTTTATTTTTTATAATTCTATGTAAAAAAGCATAACTATAACAATCCTCTTGGTAGTTTTTTTTTTTTTTTTTGCATGTTTTTCCTATTTTATCCATTTTAGTAGCTTTTGTGTGATATTTGTGATCTATGGGATGGGTGACACGATTTTTAAGGTGATCAGATGAGTAATAAGTGAGTTTCTATTTTTGAAAATTTAAAGTTTGACCAAAGTCAACAATTCAAGTCAATAACTCATAATCAAATTTCAACAGTTTTGTTGCGTTTGGAAGGTAATTTGTGACTTAGGTGAGCAGTTATTTGGGTCTTGAGGCATTCAAGAGTGATTTTGGTTTTGGGTTGGATTTTTAAAAGTTTAAATCGAACCCTAATGGCAGTACGTAATGTGACAATAGCACTCATTAGCAATGTAAACTGAAATTAGAGTTAATGCAACAAATCTAACTGGCAGTCTTTGAATGCTCTACTAATATTGAATATAGATAGCTGGGACATGACCCCCTGCTTCCCTTAACCAAAATGTATGAATAGAAATAAAATATTATAACTATAAACAGATTTGAGTCCTCGAATAAAGAGAACTCATTACTTGTTGGTTGGAAATTGCGATATACCTGATTAGGATCTTGATAGTGAGCATCTGAATCTACATCATATGACAAATGTAGGCATAAGAAGTATGTGATCAATACTTTGAATACACTGAGCATGTGAGATATGCACAATGTTCTAATAAGTTAAGCATGGTGAACTTGAGATGGTAAACTGAACGTGGAACTAATACATAAAAGCTCATGCAATGACCAAGAAATAAACATGTAAATGATCAATACTATACTGAATAAATTAAAAACGGGTTCATGCAATATAGAGATACTAATAACCGATGTACTTTGTCTGAGCTAGATAAAGTCCAACATGTACCCCAATTGGAAGGACGCTTGTACCTTACCAAGTGTACAAACACTGACTGACATAGATTCACTAAATTGATGTCCAAAAGGACTAATGGTGTCAAGTCTGATTTGACGGGTGACCCTTTTGTAACTACGATGACACGTAGTTCTGGACTTAGGATTTGCTACTAAAGGTCTCAAACTAACTGATGGATGAGTCTTCATCCCTGCATCCGCTTGGTAGTAAGTAATATTCAATAGCTAAATAATACTCTTTAAACATGTGGAACTGAAAGACTGAGTATAAAACTATAAATTTATGGAATACTAGGGGATTGGCTATTCATAACCCACCACTCCAAAAAGTACAACTAATCATGAGAATTTATATATTATGAACGGAATATGCAAATAAATAGCACAAGTCCAAAGGCATGAATTTCTATATTCTCAGAGTTCATGAAATATACCTATACAAAGATACTAACTACATGGGAAAACATGTATTCATAGACTATCCATGAGAAGGAACTGAAATATAAGTGGGAGGAACATACCTTGGTGTCGAAGATGAAGGAGAGGAGAGAATTTAAGAGAAAATAAGCCCAACTTAATATAGATATTTTTCAAAAAGAAATTCTACTGACCAACTTAATATTGGAAATCATTTTTCAAGAAAATAGTATTCAGAAAATAATTAATTTTTAGAAAAATATTTTCTGCGGTACCAAATACAGTGGATCTTAAATCTACTCATCTATGAAGTCCCTATACAAAAACAAAACTGAGTTTCTAGGAAATTGCTTTTGTAGGGGACCAAGTCTTTGTTTACAACTATTATTGCTTTTATGAAGTCAACTCCTTTGATTTGTGATTTGAGTTCACATACTTGTTTCTAAATATGTTTTGTTTTCTTGGTATGTAACCAAAGCTTTAGGAAAGAAGAATTAGTTTGTGTTGTAAAACAAGACTTAGATTGTTTGTTTTTCATTTGGAAAACTATGGGTTCCAGTCATGGAAAATCTTCAACTATCAGGGATCAATCAGTTGAAGGCACAGTATCCTCAGATGTAGTTGAGACATTTGTGGCAGAAGAGAAGGAAGAAATCCTTCACACCAGGAGACAAAAACCGAATCCAAGACTCAGCAGAGGAGTACCAAAAGGGATAGAAGGTGAACTAGTTGTTGCTGGATGGCCTAACTGGCTTGTTTCAGTTGCAGGTGATGCTTTGAATGGATGGCTTCCAAGAAGAGCTGATACATTTGAGAAAATAGATAAAATTGGTCAGGGAACTTACAGTAATGTCTACAAGGGTCGCGATCGTTTGCTCAATAAGGTTGTTGCTCTGAAGAAGGTTCGCTTTGACAATCTTGATCCTGAGAGTGTCAAGTTTATGGCAAGAGAGATCATTCTATTGAGAAGGCTTGGTGATCACCCGAATGTTATCAAATTGGAAGGTGTAGTCACCTCAAAAATGTCCTATAGTTTGTACCTTGTTTTTGATTGCATGGAATATGATCTCAAGGGAATTCAAGAACAGAAAGGTGTCAAGTTATCTGAACCTGAGATCAAATGTTACATGAACCAGCTGCTTAAAGGGCTTGATCACTGCCATAGCCGTGGTATCTTGCATCGAGATGTAAAGACTTCTAACCTGTTAGTTAATAAAGATGGTATCTTGAAAATTGCAGATTTTGGGCTGTCAACATTTTTTGATCCAGAACAAAGCATCCCCTTAACTAGCCGGATTGTAACTCTCTTCTATAGGCCACCGGAACTTTTGCTTGGATCAAATTATTATGGAGTTGGAGTTGATTTATGGGGTGTTGGTTGTGTACTTGGTGAACTATTTACTGGCAAGCCAATTATGCCTGGTAGAACTGAAGTAGAGCAACTGCATAAAATCTTCAAGCTCTGTGGTTCTCCATCTGATGATTTTTGGAAAAAATCCAAATTGCCCAATGCAGTAATGTTCCAGCCAATAGAGCCTTATAGACGGATTCTTCACACGACCTTTCATGATCTTCCTGCAGCTGCTGTAGGACTAATGGACACCTTACTTTCCATAAAAGCTGAATATAGAGGGACTGCAGCTCTTGCTCTTCAGAATGAGTTTTTCACAACAGAACCATTTGCTTGTGATCCCTCAAGTTTGCCACAATGCCCCCCCAGAAAAGAGATCGATGCAAAAAAGACTGAAATCGAGGGGAGTAGGGTCCGGAGTTATGCACGAGATAAAAGTGTAAGGGCAGTTCCAGCACCTGAAGCTAATGCAGAATTAAAGAGTAACATAGACAGAAGACAACTCATTGCCCATTCAGAAACCTGGAATAGGCTTGAAAAAACAAACGAATATGTCTCAGGATGTGTTATAAATGAAGGAACAAACTCTTCTACATTTTTTCAGGTGTCCAGCAGAAAAGAGGGCTCAGAGAATTATACTCAGAGAGAGATAAGGAAAGAACCAATTCATGATATCAAAGGAAAGAAAAAGTGGTCAGGTCCATTACCTGTTCCATCAGATAAAATGCATGAATCAGAAGGCCTTGACTTGGTGGAAGACGATCAATATTTTGGTCCACTTCCATCTGCATCAAAACCAATCGATGTGGATAAAATAATTAGAGAGCATGACCGACAGATCCAAGAATCTGTTGAACGTGCCAAGCAACAGAAGAAACTAGCTAAAGCTCGGTATTGAGGTATGAAAACAACAATGAAAAACCAATATTAGCTGCTTGGATATTCACAGGTTGTCAATCAGTACTATGTGACCTTTTGTGCCTCATATTGTCTCTTAGATGCACTGAAGCAAATGTATAAGTGTATCTTTACTGGTATACAAATATAAATCTTTATCCCTATGTGAAGAATTTCTTCTTTGGGTTTCTTCAATTTGATTATTGACTGTCGATGTTAATCCATTCTATCTCTGTTTGAAATCCTTGATGATCCCCGTGAGGGAGCTAAATCTGTTGAAATGACAGATTATCAGTAGCGTTGTACAACGTAGTACATGTTTGTTGCTATGCAAAGAGAGACAAATGTGTTGCACCAAAACAAGCTTCATGGATGGTGCAGGAAATCTTAAATGTATAGAGATATGTTGAAGAGGCCGGACTAGGGGTTGAACTTGAGATCTCTCGTTAAGGGTGGAGAACCTTAACCATTAATACATCTATTAGACTGAACTAATTGGTAATGATAAGGCAGAAAGTAAGTAACATGTTCCCCCATTTTACTGTAATTTTAATCAATTATGCCTCAATCTCAAACAAATCAAGACCTACAGTATAAAACCCTTTTGTTCCAGATCAAAGAAATCGTTATTAGTTGCTAGTTTTACGCTAACCATCAACTAATTAGACTCAGTAACCTCGTTGCTTGTACTTGAAAAGATATTTAGGCCAAATTCTCCAACAGACGGATTCTTCATGCGACCTTTCATGATCTTCCTGCAGCTGCTGTAGGACTAATGGATACTTTACTTTCCTTAAAAGCTGAATATCGAGGGACTGCAGCTCTTGCTCTTCAGAATGAGTTCTTCACAACAGAACCATTTGCTTGTGATCCCTCAAGTTTGCTACAATGCCCCCTCAGAAGGGTCCGGAATTATGAACGCAATAGAAGGGTAAGGGCAATTCCAGCAGCTGAAGCTAATGCAGAATTCAAGAGTAACATAGACAGAAAGCGACTCATTGCCCATTCAGAAGCCCAGAATAGGCTTGAAAAAACAAATGAATATGTCTCAGGAGGTGCTCTAGATGAAGGAATAAACTCTTCTGAATGTTTTCAGGTGTCCAGCAGAAAAGAGGGCTCAGAGAATTATACTCAGAGAGAGATAAGGAAAGAACCAATTCATGATATCAAAGGAAAGAAGAAGTGGTCAGGTACATTACCTGCTCCATCAGGTAAGATGCATGATTTACTCATAGAGCATGACCCTATGATCCTCAAACCTGCTAGGCGTGCGAAGCTTGAGAAGGGATCAACAGCTAAAGGGAATGACCATGACTCTAAAGGAAAGAAGAATCATTCGTTATGTCCATCAACATCAACTAGCAATGCGACTATTGGAAATGGTCAAATTTCTACTCATTTACCTGCCAAATTGACTAATATGCAGCGCTTACTAGAAGAGCACAAGAGACAGATCCTAAAAGATGCTCAATCGGTGATATCTGACAAGGAAAAAATGGCGGAAGGAAAAGGCAATAACACCAAGGCAGAGAAGAACCAACTTGAACAATTGTCTCCTCCTGCAGAATCACATGGCCTTGACTTCCTGGAAGACAATCAATATTTTGGTCCACTTCCATCTGCATCAAAACTGATTGATGTGGATAGAATAATTAGAGAGCATGACCGACAGATCCAAGAATCTGTTGAACGTGCCAAGCAACAGAAAAAACTAGCTAAAGCTCGGTATTGAGGTATGAAAACAACAATGCAAAACCAAATATTAGCTGCTTGGATATTCACTCTTTATAAAGGTTGTCAATCAGTAATATGTGACCTTTTGTGCCTTATATTGTATCTAGATGCAATGAAGCAAATGTATAAGTGTATTTTTACTGGTATAGAAATGATAAATCTTTATCCCAATGTGAAGAATTTCTTCTTTGGGTTTTTTTACTTTGATTATTGACTGTCGATGTTCATTCATTCCATCTCTGTTTGAAATCCTTGATGATCCCCGTGAGGGAGCTAAATCTGTTGAAATGGCAGATTATCAGTAGCGTTGTACAACGTAGTATATGTTTGTTGCATATGTACTATGGTAAAGAGAGACAAATGTAGGACATTGCACCGAAACAAGCTTCATGGATGGTTGAAGAGGCTGAACTAGGGGTCGAACTTGAGATCTCTCGTTAAGGGTAACCTTTACCATTTAATACATCCATTAGACTCAACTAATTAGTAATGACAAGGCAGAAAGTATGTAACATGTTCCCCCATTTTAGTGTAATTTTAATCAATGCCTCAATCTCACACAATTCGAGACCTACGGTACAAAATCCTTTGGTTCCAGATCAAAAGAATCGTTATAAGTTGGCTAGTTTACGCTAACCAACAACTTATGAGACTCAGTTACCTCGTTGCTTGTACTTGAAAAGCAACCTGTCTGGACAGAAATATCATCTACTGATAAATGAAAAATGATACATGAAGGGGATTTTGTATTTACATATAAGATCCTGGATACATATCAAAATTTTGAATCGCTCACAGTTGAGATATGAGAAGCCGAATAAGACTTTGATTATTCTGCAATTGAAACATTTTAAATTACTAGACCTATGTACATACTTAACGAACTCTATGTCTCCTTACATCTCCGAGAGGATGTTACTGATTTTCCGAAGCTCTTTGAGAGCTGCCATGGCTGTTACTTGTCCTTTACCAGCTAGAACATTTTTCGAAAGGTTTTCTAAGGTTCCAACTTGACCGCGATCTTGCTGAAAGACTGATTCAATCACCTGCACAAATGATGAGTGAATTGTATCACATTGTGTATATACCATAAACAGACTGCTGATATTGCATGTGATCGAAATGACGGAAATCAAATGGATACTTTGTATCACATTGTGTAACAAATGGATGCATAGTATCTTTGCCTTCAGTAAGTTGAGGGTGCAAAATAGGATGACAAAGTTATGTCCACAATGGATACTTTCAAAATGATAAAAATCAAACAACGTACACAAGTTAAGCAAGATATTAGTCTTTACCTGGATGTTCTCAAGCATAGACTGTCCGAGATTTCTCAGACTAACCATTAAATTCTGGTCTACAGATTCTCCTTTGCCAATTCCACTGTTATTAGATGTATCAGCGGTGGACAATACAGCAGGATCATCGGGATTATTCCCACAATTGTCAGCTTTTGTGGAATCACAGACCCCTTTTTCGGATGTCCCCTCCCCACCATTTCGTCCAAATTTCCATAACCACTGAAATTTACCAGATAGAAGTTTCCGCTCCTTCAAGCCAGCTGGACCTTTTCCCCCAGAGTCAACACTTTGTTCAGATTTTACCGAGGTCTCCTGAGGGGGATCAGAACTAGGGAGAGGTGGAACTTCCAGATTAGTACAAGATACCTCAGCACTATAGCCATCAGCATCATTTTCATCGGCAGAGAAATTTGATGCAACACTACTTCTTTCAGATCTATTTCCATGATCATTTGCATCACTAATAGGACTTTGGGGATCTGAGAAGATAGAAGAATTCTGTTCACTAGCGGCACTTCCAGTGGAGTCCGACTGTTCAGATGTGCAAGTAAAATTTCCATCATTATCTTCTTGCCCGACAATGTCAACTGGAACTTCTTGCTCCTTAATTTCATCATCAATAAGCTTTTCTGCGTCTTCATCGGCGCCAAGCTGCTGAGCAAGATCTTTCAACAAACTTCTCCTCACTGATGACTTGGAAACTTTTCTTCCATTATCAACTGCAGATGGGGTTGGATCAGACTCAGTTCTGGTAAGACGCATTTTCACTTTCTCAGACCAACCTTTTCTTCGGGTTGGAACTTGTTTCTCAGCACTATTTTTCTTGCTCTCTTCTTCCTTGTGTAAAACTCTCCACTTTTCTTCCCAGTAGCTTTCAGGTACTAAGGAGCCAAGTGGAGTTCTTGGGGAACTTAAATCAACTGAATGGCTGTGACCTCTTATAACCGTTGACTGACTTCTACCATAGTCTCCAGTATAATCAATTACTGGGGCTGAACTGTTGGCATCCACTGCCAGAGCCTGCAATGATTTTGCCTTCGCTATCAGTTTTCCCAGATTTATATCTTCTGGAAAATTTAGCAATCTCTGGAGGCACTTAGTAGCATTCTCCGTCGCAAGCAACGAAGACCTCAAATGAAGTATCATAGTAACTGCAAAAGCTGATATAAATGCTCCCCTGGATGAATTTAAGACTCCAGAGCTGGAGTCACCATCATTTTCACAAGGTTTTCCCAACTTCTTGTTATCGCACGCAAATATTTCATCCCAGATTATCAATAAGTCTTCAAGTGCAAATTCACGTCCAAATAGTACTCGTAACCAGCGAAGTGCGAAATATTGCGGTTCAACTCCTAGCTCGACAAGATGACTGTGGAGGGAGGAATCAACCAGTGAAAGCAAATGGTATAATGCTGCCGAGGCTTCAATAACAGGGGGATATCCAGTATGTGAAGTACCATATGGTGCAGGAGAGAAAAATTGTGCCATAGAAACAGCACCACCAGCTCCACTCATCAGAGCGTCAAACATACAATACGCATCGTGCTCCATGAACTTCTCAGATAGAAGAATACCAAGCTCACCTTCAGCACCATATGCATCACTAAATAAAATAACTGCTTGAACCTTTGGATCAAGTTCAGTTAAACTAGTAATTCTCCCTGGACTCTTCTCAGATCCAATGTCATCTTCCGTAGATTCCGAAAACTTTTTAAAATCAAACTTATATGTCAAATCATTTTCATGAAATGAGAATCCATCAAATTTGTCAGCAAAATGATCCTCGTGCAGATTCCTCACTTCAGAAAGATGCTCCATATCAGCTTGAAGAACATAAAGAAGTGGGGCCAATAGTTCATGCATTCCTGCAAACAGAGAAGCAGAAAGTTCCTCCATTAATAATGAGAAGACAAACATGATAAGACGGTTAGCAATTAAGGCACTAGGTTACATGATAAATTCAAGATCAGAAAGTACAGGACCCAAAAAAGGAGGGTATGACAGCACAGAGTGATGAAATCAAGAGTAAATGAGCTATTTGGACGTCATAAGCCGCTACACAAGCACCCAAGGGTGTGGCCTAGTGGTCAATGAACAATGAAGTGGGCGAAAACCATGAAGTAACAGGTTCTAGGTGATTTCTTCCCATCTGTCCTAGCTTTGATGGATAGAGTTCCCTAGTGCCTGTTGTTGGTGGGAGGTGGCAGGCATACAATTGAATTAGTCGAGGTGCGCACAAGCTGGCCCGGACACCATGGTTATAAAAAAAAATGATATACAAACTGCAAACTTGAAGGCAGCTATAGAGCATGTGAACAATTAATAGGTTCGCAGAAACTATCTTGATACAATTGAACATGGGCGAGCCTAAGCTTACATTATAGATGCATGTCATTTGTTATGAAAAGGACGGGCAGGGTAGGTATGAATGCCTGCTCTTTGATTTTTAAGCTTGAAGAAGTTACATCTTGATTAACTATTTAATAACTGAAAAAGTATCTCATGCGAGATTCCACAGACTAGTAAAGGCCTTATTCCCTTCAACAGTAAGCAGTAGCACATAATAAGTTTGACAATGTAATGTTTTTACCTTGTCTGTAACCATACTCTGGATGTCTAAGGCACCAAAGTAGCAGAATCCTCCTCAACATGGCTTGGCATCCAGCAGTCTGGAAATAGCTACCGTGCTCAGGATATAAACGCGAAAGATCCTGGTCAACCATCTTCTCCAGTTCAGCATTCCTGAAGAAGCGACCCCACATGCTATCTGCATTACAACAACACCATTAGCATTTACTCAACCGCAAGCTACAGTTTCTCCAAGTACTTTCTAATGCAAAGTGGAAATACAAGAACTGATAAATAATTACCAACTAAGATCGAGTAAAATGAAACTATACTTTTCTAGAGCAGGACACAATAATCGTTTCTTCTGGATGGTCGTTTTTTTTTATGAAGTTTTTCAGGATGGTCTTAACTCTTCATCAAAAGAGAATCTTGAAAAAGTTTCAAATGTTTGAAGGTGTGGTGAAGTTTGAACAATTTTCAGCATTGCACTTGCTAAAAGAGAAGAAAAATGAACAAATGATGCAAATATCCTACCAGGGTTTTGCGACAGTGGATTGTCTATGACAGGATCAGGAGAATTACTTCCATCTTTAGGCACATGTGGATCAATAAGAAGGTGTCTTCTCAACGAAGCATACCTACACAACCAAAAATACGTTACACAAAAAGATTATACATTACAAACCTCATTATCATATTGAGGAAATAGAAATAAAAAGAAACTAACACGCTGGAATTTGGATCATCACAAAATTTTGAAAAGAAATAGTACAATCAAATTGAGCAATGCACCGATAACATTTTTATATCAGTACATTCAATCTACATTGTTACTATTTCAGGAAAAACATGTTGATGAGATGCAATATTTTTTTACTCATAAATGAGCTTAAGATATTAAAATGAGTGAATGTGTACATCATATATCTAGAAATCTGGAAAATCCAGCTGCGGTAGTTGCTGAGCATTCAAACAATCAAGAACAAGCTTTCAATCCTTAATTTTCTATAGGTGTTCGACACAAGATTTGAGAAACTAACAGCGTCTAAAACCTACAATCCCAAATCTAGACTTGGGAAAGAAGAGCTTCCATGTAAATAAACTTCAGAACAACAACTCTGCACAAAACTGACAAGAAAACAATGACAAAAAAGATAATCCAATCAGTCAACTGCTAGAATCATATTATTCTTTAGCATCAAACAAGCAAGTAAACAGATCATCTCAACACAACAATTATGTTAATGATGTGTTTTTCTTTTTTCCAA